CTTCATCAACCAAAGTTGATAAACGTCTTTCAAAACGTAATTGTTCATCTTCATGACTATTACATTCAGCAGATGATGGACGACTTGTTTGTTGTTCAGTAGAATTATCTGTTATTGTTGTTATATTTAATGGCATACATTCAAAAACAAATTGTTTAAGGATATGATCAACATCTAAACATAATAATTAAATAATATGAAAAATTTGTTTATTTTTGGGAAACACGATTTAATAAGAGTGTTGAAGTATAGAGATAGAAATTTGTCTCTTCTCGTTACAGACACCTTGATGACCGATAGCAGACCGTATATCAATAACATTTCATTCTAATATGTGAATTACTTCCTTATTGCATGTCTGACGAGGATAGTGAAGAAGTGTGCTTCAAAATAGATAGAATAAAACAATCTCTCTATGATTAACAACAGCAGTTATGTCGTGTTTCATATTTTAATCTCACAGAGATTTGCACTAACATCGAGTTTTTTTTTCTACTGACCTGATAGAAGAAGTTCTTCATCAGTACAAAATTGTAAAAATTGATTAAGACGTGTTTGACGTTCTCTAGAATCTGAATCATCAACTTTTTTTGATGATAATTGAGGAAGACTAACAAGACGTGAATGAGACATTATGAAATTATGTTCTACTTGAATTGGATCAAGTATAGCTAAACGATTTAATGTTGCTAAACGTTGTTTCATATCATCATCATAATAAACCATTAGTGGACCTGATCCAGTAGCTTTTGAAAATGGAGATTTTGGAACAAGATTTTCAATTTCCTATAAAATAAAAGAAAGAAAAAAGCATCTTATTTAATTTTTTTTTCTTTTAAAATTGAATATTTACTTTTTGTTGTTCTTTTCCAATAGAAAGACTCATTAATTTATCACGTAAATATCGTCCAACATCATCTTGTTGACTCGATGTATTTTTATTAACATTAGCACTGTGAGCATTAACCTAAATTTTTTTTAAAAATATTTATATTAAAATAAAACTAAAAATTGATTGGTTTTTTTTTCTTCAAACTAACTTGTTCAAGAATTCCATGTAATATAAGTGGTATACTTATTGATTCGGGTGGTAAAATTGTCGTTATTTCATTATAAATTTTTGCATCAGATATTGATTCAATTGTTTTTTCTTCTAAATAAATCAAAAATTTATTATTTTAGAACTACAAAAAAAAAAATTAACAACGTAAGATACAAACCAACAGTAGGTATTGTTACAACTTTCATTTGTTGATTAAATGTATTGAATTGTCGTTTACGAATATTTAAACGAAAACTATTTTCAACAATACTATTATAAAGTATTTGTGCTAATTTAATCTATTAGTTTTTAAAAAAAGAAAGAACAAAAAAGAATTCTTTTATGTTTATTAGTATTTAAATTTTTAACTAACTCTTTGTTCAGTATTAGTCCATGAATTAGGTACATCATCATTTGAAACTTTTAAAGTTGTTACAATAATATCTTGTAACGTCGATCGATCTGGTGCATTATCTAATAGTGGCATTAAAGTTTTCCAGAAGTTATTTAGTATTTGATCATTTCGTTCATTTTGTTGAGCAATCTGTTCTGGAGTTACTAAAAATTAAAAAAAGAATGAAGAATTAATTCTGAATATAATTAAGTTTTTTTTTTTTGCTATTAGTTATAAATAACATTCACTGAGTGATAAATAAACTAATTGTCTCTGTGAATATACCAAAATACCCATTGTAGGAATGATTAGAAGTTTTATTAAACAAAATGATAATAATAAAATATATTAAAACAATTTCGAAATTTGACAATGGGTTATAAATGGTTTCGTTAAATTATACGATTTCTTATTTGATAGGTGACACAGTTAGTTATCAAATTTAAAAATAAAAAAAAAAACAAAAGAAAATTCTTACGTATTGAATCCTTCTCTGAAAATGATCAATTTTAGAAAAAATTTTATTTTAATTCTTAATAATTTTTATACATACGTATGTCTTTAAGTACATCAGCTTTAAGTGTTTGTTCTTGTCGATCTCGTTGAATCATTTCATCAAATAAATATTTTGTTTCATTTAAACTATCACATGATACATTTGTTATTGTATCAATATGAACTCCATTACTATCAAGAGCACTTAAAAGACCAGTTGAATAAAATCCACTTAAAAATACATATTGATTAGGACCATCATTTGGTTCATCATCTAAATTAAAACGAATTATTTTTATTTTTATCATTATTATATAAATTCATAAAATAAAATTATCTATATAATCATATATAAAAGAGCAAGATTATAGCAAAAAAGAATATTTTCTACAACCTTCTTTTTTTATTTGTAAACTTTCTGAACAAAAATAATCTGAAATTCAAATTATTTTCTTTTTTTTTCAGTTGATTAACATACCGATATATTTTGTTTCATTAATAATTTGATCACGTGTTTTAACACCTGTTGATTTTTCAATATGTGTATCAGCTGCAGATGGTTGTAAACCAGGTGTTTGTTTTTTAGCAGCAGCTGCTGGTTTAGGAGATTTTTTTCCACCTGGTGATTTTGGTTTTTCACCTTTACCTGGCATACTACCTGCCGGTGTTGATGACTATAATTGTATTTAATTATTAACAAAAAAAAGTACGATTTTTTATTACATACTGTTTTAAGTGTTGTTCGATTTTGTACTTCTTTTTTAAGATCAAGTATTCGACATTTGAGTAATTTTGCCCATAATTGATCATCAATATCTCCACCTGTATCTAATATTGATTTAGCATATTCATAAGCAGCAAGAAAAGATGAATTAGTAAGACTGGCAACAGTTGCATTTGTTGAAACGGATTTAGCGGCAGTTTTTGATGCTTTACCCAATGTTTTAATCTAAATAATATTATTTGAATAAATAGTATTGATCAAAAGTGTAAGATCAATGTATTTTTGATTCTGTTTCTATGATATCAAGCATTTAACGCAAATTCAAATAGGAGTTTGAATAGCCAATGAACTCTTTTATCAAATGCAATTTATACTGAAATTTCATAGATATACTATGAAAGAAAGGTTTCTGAAAAACTAAACTCGATAACTTTTAAGTCTTAGAACACTATGTGTAAACTAGTTTTTATGTATGCTCTCTTAAAGATCACATAAAACGAGGGTTTGTTGCGTTCCCTATGACTATCCCTTAAGCAGTTATAACCATTACACAAAATGAAAAAAAAAATTATCATAGTATTGCTAAAAATCGTATATTCTTAGTTTTTCTTTTTTATAATGCTAATAGATTTTTAAGGGAAGGTTGTAGAAAATGCGGCAACCCTTCATTTTATTCAGAATTTTGTGCACTTTAAATGGTTGTCTTTAAAAGTAATTTTCTAGAATCTGACAATTATCGTGTTTAATTTTTCAGAAATCTTCCTCTTATAGATCATCTATGAAATTTTAGTATGAATTGCATTTGATAGAAGATTTCATTAGCTATTCAAATCATTATTTGGATTTCGGTTAAATGGTTGATATCGAAGAAACAAAATTAAAAGTATATTAGCCTAATATGTGTAACCAATACTGTAGAGAGCTATGTAAATATTTCATTTTTCTTACGTACAGCTTCAAGAAGATCACGTTTAGAAATAAAATCAAATCGTCGTCGAACGCCATTTTGCATGGCTTTTTCAATAAGATCAACATAAATTTGATTAATAGAACCATCAGGTATAAGAAAACAAACAAATGTTATCCAATTATCCTATTTAATAGAGTAGGAAAGAAAAAATAAATTTAAATTATAGTTTTTTATATTGCTCACTTGATTAGCTGAAACCGAACTTAATAATGATTCCCAAGTTGCTCCTCCTGGTTTAGCACTTTTTGGACTTTTTGCTCGAGGACTTTTTGCTCCTTTCGGTGGCATTTTTCTTTAAATTCAATTTCGTATTATCGATCTAAAAGTGAGAAATTTATTTCGAATAGTTTACACTTGAACTGTAATAGAAACAAAATTCAATCTTCAGTTTTATTCATATTTTAGAAATTCTATAAATTTTGAATACTATTATATTTTACAATGACGAAAACTTTTATTTTTATTTAATTAGCATATTTTAAACAGCCAATATTTATATATTCAATAATATCAAATCACAAAACATGATATAAGGCAATGTGTTGAGAAACTGTAACAACAAGTATGACCTTATATTACATGCTAGTTATTTTTATTTTTGATCAGTCCAGAAAAAAACAAAAATAATCGACAATAAATTACAAATAATTGATATCAATAAAATTATGTTGTTTTGCTGTTATTATATTTCAAACTTCTATTATTCATCAATGAAATTCTATTTTTTTCTTTTTGACATTTTCATTATTTTTACATTGAATATTATAAAACTACGAATTTTTATCTTTATATATTTCGTATTTCGATAATCATAATATAAGTAAAAAACATGTCGTTTTCGTATGTTTTATTCACGCTTCAGTGGTAAATCGCAAACCCCATAAAAGAGATATTCTTCATACTTTTGTCCGTGTGCTTTCTTGTTTATCAACATTAGTCCTACCTCGTAAGTATAACAACGATTTATTTATCTCTTTCTTTCTCCTCTTCCTTTTTTTTCTCCTTCTTCAGTTTTCGTCTCCACTGATCACAATACAAAGTGTTGTTTTTCCTACATGTGTGCAGACCATCCAGATGTGCATGTAAAAAAAAACAAACTTGAAGAAAAGAAAAAACAATTAGGCCAACGGAGTATATCAGTAACAAGAAAAAACAAGCAATACAGGTAGCCTGTTGACATCATATAAACGATCACATGCTATTTTGTACCAATCAGCAATTTCTTCACGATTGGGCGATCATCGTATGAAGAGATGAAGACGACGAGGGAGAGAGAAACGATGCAATGCTTGTCATACATAGAAAGTATCGCAAAAAAAAATAATATTTAAAAATATTTCCACACCTGCGCGTGTTTCGACACTTACAACAGTCAATGCAGGTTGAAGGGCAATATCAAGAAGATTCAAACGCTATTACACACAGTCCCTATTATGGTTGTACTTTACGAGTTCTATCAAAAGCTCGTGTTTCCTATGAAGGTGTACTCGATGGTATTGGTACCGCTAAAGATCGTATATATCTCAAAAATGTGCGTGTCAATGCAAACATAACAGGTTCTCCTAATCGAAGTAAATAAGAAAAAAAATTTCTTTTCTTTATTTAATCAAAAAAAAAATTATATCTTATTTAGATAGTTCTTCAGATGATCTTAATAGACATATTACAACTGATAAATTGAATGCTGTTATGATTGATCATTTAACAAATGATATCCATATATATGAACAAGTATGTTTAAATGTACGTGATATTCAAGAATTAAGACTGATAGAATTACCTTCGACATTTCATGAATCGAAAGCAAAATTACGAGCTATTGATCCATGTCTTGTTGATATTCGTTTATCATCATCTGATAAATATGAAACAAGTTCAAACGGTTCAAATAATGATCATCCACCACGTGCACCCATAGCACGTCAAAGTCGTGATGAATCATATGGAAGTAATGGAGATAGTGTATTAATATCATCAGAATCAAATAATTCTTCACCTTCATCTTGTATTCATTCTGATGAAAAATTTGCTGATGAAAGTAATGATGAATCAGTTGATGAACAAATCGAAAAATTTAATCAATTAACAACAACAACAACAACAACAACAACAGCAACAACAAATTTAAATTCAAAACCAGTTACATTACTTGCTAAAAAGATTTTACCAAAAAAATTTGAACGTCGTACAGATGTACAATCAACTTCATCAATTAATACAAATAATAATCTTCGTCAAACTATTTCTGATAATCATGAAATAATTGATGGATCAACATCAATCAATAATCAAAATACATTAAAAATAGGACCAACAATTGATGATGATGATAGAAAATCATCACCAATACGTGTAACCATTACAAGTAAATTGAATCCAGATGCTTTACCATTTTATACTCAACAACGAAATTTACCTGGAGTGCAAAATCCATCATTTGTATTTTATGAACGACCTCGTTTTCGACCACGTTTACAATCTATTAGTTCACCAGATCGTTCACAAGTATTACCGTATGGAATGAATACAGTCGATAATAATCAGCAACAACAACAGCAGCAAAATTATCATCATTCAAATCAAGGATATGGTCCACAAAGACAAATGGCTGTTAAAAAAAATTTTACACAAACAAATCCACTAAGAACAACAAAAACAAGATCTATTCGAACACCACCACCTACGGCAAAATATCGTATACATGCATCAACATCTTTAGATAAACGTTTTTTTTCTCATCCACAACATAAAGATAAAACACAAAATAATCCTCAATATAGGCGTAAGTTTAATTTAATTCTTGAATTACATGTATATATATATATATATATATATATATATCATTATTTTAGAATTTCCACATCAAACATCAGTACCAACATCAAATTCATCAATATTAACACCACCAATAGGAGATAGATTTTTGGCATCACGAAATAATCCTATGCATCAATCAACACATAGTATTCGTTCAACACTAAGTTTACCTTATCATTATGGATGTTTAAGTGATCGTAATCAAATACAAACACCTGTATTTCAAGAATCCATAGGTTCAAATCGTAGTCAACGTACAATTTCAGGTGCAAGTAGTTGTAGTAGTTTAAGTGTTGATATTGGTCCACATTCAATTGTTCAACTTGATTCACCATTAAATACATTAACATCATTTGATGAACAATATGATTTTGAAAAAGCTAATGATGAATTTCGTCGTTATCTTGAATTAGAAGAATTAGTTATACGTCGTCGATCATCTCACGATTTAAATGGTTCACCTTCTAATGATAATACAATACAACAACAACAACAACAACAACAACAAGAACAACCACAAACACATTCATATAAAAAAGAAATTTCATTTTTTGATCATATTTCATGTACGGCAACAACTGGTACAGCAGTAGGTTATACAGAAATGGATGAAATAGAAAAAAATCTTGAAACATTTGGTAATGATGCTCTTTTAATGGCTTCGAGTCTCAATGATAATGAATGGCAAATATAATATCATAATAAGCAAAATAAATAAATAATAATAAATATAACAAAAAAAAACTATTTAACTCACCTCTCTTTCTCAATGAATATTTGCATTACAATATAATCAACATTACACCAACCATTAATATAAACTAGCAGCTAAGCAACGATCACATTCATTATTTTTATTTTGTTTGTATATTTTGTTCAGTCATCCGAAAATGAAGATCTTCAACACAACACAATTCTTTTTTTTTTAAACATGCCAAGTTTTTTTTATAAAGTTTCTTCTCTATATCTCTTAATAAACACCACGTTCTAATTTAATGATTGATCTCTACTGACATCTGTCTGTTTGTCAGGTTTATATTATATAGATCTATATTTCAATATCGTACAAGTATCGATTTGGATATAGTTCTGTTAATAAATATACCATATGTTAAATTAAAATCGAAGTATAAGATCATATTTACTATTTTTGTATTGCACTTGATGAGAAAGATACAATTTTATGTTTCTCGTGAACATTGAGATTCATTTTGTTGCATAGATCATTATCAAAGATAAAAATTTTATTATCAATTTTCAAATCTAATCTAAGGTTAACAATTATTTGATAGAATCAAAACATCGATGAAGTTATAGATTCTTTAGTTATTTCGATCTTATACATGTTATAATCAATATACTAAATGAAACGTACAGAATATCTGATACTTTCAATATAAATATACTGTTTCAAATTTTGCTCAAACTAGCAGAAATTACACAATACATTGTTCGAAATAAAATTATATTTTATTTCCAAGATATTTGACGATGAATTTTTACTTACAAAAAAAAATAGTACATGCAACTTATTCTATTATTTTCGAATATTCTACTATTTTTCTCGTATCTTTCAATTTCTCTATTTGATCATATGAGACAAAAATAGAAAAAGATATGCTTTTCGCTTATCATCTTTCTAGGGATATTGTTTATCAAACGCAAAATGAGTAATTTCGTTTTTTCTGTCCTATGATGTTGTTAAAAAGAAATTCGCTGTTATACACGTTGCTTATGATTTTAAAAAAAAGTGGACAAATACATTGTGTTTTAAATTTCAATTAGAAACGGTAGTTTGTAGTCACAGATGTACAAGCATATGTACCACAGAACAAAGAAAATAATAAAATGCAAGGCCAAAACAAAAAACCATATACGCCTGGTGTACGAATAATACCGTAAGAGAAAAGAATAAGGCATTTCATAAATAGAAAAAGTAAAAGAGTATTAATAATTATCAGTTCGTCGTTTTTCTTTCTATTCTGATACTGTTTGGTAAATATAATATTATCTTATCTATCTAGCAGTTGAAATCTCACAAGACATAAATCATAAAAAAAGTATAAAGTATGTCGTCATCTTCTTTATTTTTTCTTAGTATTACACTGTTAGTTCTAATACTAACAGTTGAATCAGTTTATTATGCATATTCATATGATGATGGGAATAATAATGAAGAACATTGTTGTCTGGTACGAGTGCATGAGAAATTTTGTATAGCGAGACCAATAACACGTAGCTTAGTACAAGTTAATAAACGATGTCATCGAGTTGACAGATCTCAACATCACCGATTTGGTAGAAAGAATAGAAATGAACAATATTTAGATAAAATTTTACGTCGTTTAAATGTACAAACGTCACAAGAAGTTGGTGATAAAATACTTATTGAATTACAAACACCATTAGAAAAAAAAGTACTTGACAATGATCTTATATGTTTACAATCAACTAATAAAAATATGAATTTAGACAAATGTTATATAGAAATAGTTGACGAATTAGATGATGATAGCGATAACGACGATGATGATGATGATCATCATCATCGTAAGTCACACAGATTGCATAGTAAAAATAAAATTTTCTTTGTTTAAGTCAAATAGAACTAATTTTTTTTTCTTTTCTTTTTATGTTAGAACGACGACGATATGGTCATCATCGTCATCAACATCGTCATCATTATGATCGCAAGAAACGCGCTGTTAATATAGATGATCAAGAAGAAGACGATACTATTAATCATAATAAAAATACTAAAGAAAATGAAGCTAAAAAAGAAACAACTCGAATTGAATTAAATCAACCAATTCGTATTCGTGAAGGTCATGGTTTTTTAATGCGTCAAACATATAAAATTAATCCTAGTAATATTCGACCAACAAATCGTCAACATCGTCAATGTTGGTCATGGTATCGTAAACAAACACGAAAAATACGTTATAATCCATCAAAACATACAAAATCTTGTATTAATTTAAATGATCATCTTGAAAAATGTATTAATCAACTTGTTCATAATAGATTAAATACAAATGAAATAGATAATTATCAAGAACAACAAAATATGAAAAATTCTTTTTCAATAGGATCAAAATTATATTGTGAAAATCAAGCTGGTTATAATAAATTAATTGGTTATTATCATTATAGTGAAGTATGTTTTTCTACAGATAATGAAATTAATATTGAACGTAAATTTATCGATATAACTGGTTTATCTGATATGAAAAAAAACAGAGATACACTTGAATTTATAGCACAAAATAAAAAATTAACAGCTGAATTTGAAGATGATTGTCATGATACAATAACATTAGCTGAAATAGATGAATTAGAAAAAAGAAAAAGCAAAAAATAATCATAAGAAATAAACTAACGATGAAATATTAACATTGAATATTTTTTTTATTTTATTTTATTTTTGCATCTTTTTGTTTTTTATTCGATTTTTTTAATTTTTAGTTAAAATAAACGGGGAAAAAGAAATGTACGTAGTTGGAATATTAATTATAATAATAGTACATTTGACATGTATATTCGTGAAAAACAAAAAAAAAAAAATTTGAACAGAAATATAAATACGAAGTTCATGGTCAGAAAAACACTTATTTATTTATTTTTTTTGTATTCTCACAGGATTATATTAGAGGCGACAGCAAGAATAAAAATGAGAATTGATGAAAACAATGATATTCGAATCGATGATGGAGCTAAAATAGAAAAAGAAAAACAAAACTATGAAGTTTTCAGTAAGAGAATAATACAATTATGTATTTTCTATTAAATATTTCACTAGAGCCGCCCGAACTTGATGGGCTCTACATCTCAAAACTAAATCGGATTCCTTTTTTTTGAGAATCTTCAGATGTAATAATTCTTTTCCTTTTTTATAGGACGTTATAAAAATGATCGAATGAATCTTCTCATATGCTAAAAAGCTTTCAATCTCATTAGAGGATCACTAAGCTATGGAAATCCTAAGACGATATGGGCACAAATTACTAGTTAGCTGAAAGATCGAATTTTTGATGAACTTTCCATTTGGAATCTCGATCTTCTAGTAAAATCATAGTTTAGACTTTCGGCAAAACACTTCACACAAGCATAGATCTCAGTTAGACTGACTTACATAAAAAAATTCAAAAATTTTAGACATAGTATTCTTCAAGATATTAATTTTTCAAAATTTAAGCACTTTTCCATAGAAGAACATAGGTTTTCGAAAATTAAATAATGGCAAACTGCGATGTAAAAAATTTGTGAAACTTTTTATACAAATTAGTCTAACTAAGATCTATGCGCTTATGTAAAGCTTTTGGTTAAAAGTCGAAACTATGATTTTACTTATCATTTGGGGACTTTCGTAGTCTAGTGATCCTCTAATGATATCGAAAGCTTTTTAACATCTGAGAAGATTCTCTCATAAGTCACTGTTCATTTTATTATATAACATCAACAAAGTTAGTTGAGAAGTTCAACGCAAGTAACATAGTTGTAATTATCCTTTTTACAAAATAAAAAAATAAAACAAATATAACATTGTAGACGAACAGAAGATAATGAAACTGATAGTGTTCGGAAAAAACACTATCTCACTATTTTGATGAGAGCGCTTAAACTTTCTCTCAACATATTTTGTCAGACAATAAAGACATATCTAAAACAAAGCTTTTTTTTTCTTTCATCGGTAAAAACCAGTCGGTTCAGTCGAACCCGGGTTAAAATACTGGAACAAGATACAAAAATCAATACAGCTGAATATCACATTTGAAAAATAGTCCTTAACTCACCATGGCAAGGTACTTGATCAGCTGGTGCACATCGTCCAATATTTCTATTAAAACGTTGTCCATATGGACAACGACTATGATTTGCTACACGATTATCAAGACATTGTATATATGATTGACAATTTGGTTTTGTTCGATCAAGATAAAATCCATCACTATGACCAGAGCATGATGGAACAAAATCACATAAACTTTTACCAACATCATAATTAGATAAATAATGACCTAATATATACACAAAAAAAAAAGAAATGAAATAAAATATTTATATCAATATAAAATAATAAATTCTTCTTACATTTACTTAAACATTGTCGACGTCCATCACATTTAACTTTTTTATATGGTAAACATGTACGAGTTTGAATATCAAATAAATTCGGATGTGTACATGTTTGAGGTATTAATTTACCTGATATACATTCATGAAAATGACAACAACTTATTGTATCTACAAATCGTGCACCTTCATTCTTTGGTGTACATCTATTTTTACCTATATAAATAAAATTATTGCGAATATCAATATATATATATATGTACATAACAAATATTTTATTACATTGTACAACTTGTGCATGATCACAAATTTGTCTTTCTGGATTATATTGAAGTTGTGCGGGACAATAAGATACAAGATCTGTACCATGATAACAATCATGATAAATTGAACAATCATATGGATCAGGTACACGCCATGATTGTGTTGGAGGACATTCAATTGCTGGTTTATATACATTTGATGATGGAAGTGGTGGTGGTGCATCTGTTAAAATATATGCTGATGGATAAGGTGTACTACGTGGCATCCATGGAGCACCAGGAACAGCTCCGATCGATGGTTCTGGACTTAAATTCTTCACCGGACCTGTAAAAAAAAATATATATATATATTCTAGAT